CTAGAAAGCCAAGACTGCCCGAAGAGCTACCCAACAGCGGAAGCGACCCAAGACTGCCTCAAAAGCAGCCCGAGAACCCCGCCAACGCCGGGGACCAGCGCCGAGCCAAGAAGTCCCAGCAGACCTCCGACAGTGCGTGCTTATGCAATGTTGACCCCTTTGATGAGCGTACCATCTTCTGCTCCGCAGGCGGCGTGCTCCCTGAGGGACGGGGCGGGGACTAGGGACGGGGGCGGGAGGGAGGAAGGGAGGGGGGAGAAGGGACGACGCAGGGAGGAAGGACAATGGGGGAAGCGAGAGGGGGGGAACGGTCGGGGGGTTATCCCCTCAAGGCCCGGGCCCCCCTCGATGGCCGCCCCCTCCGCGCACGGCGTGCGCTCTCCCCACACGGCCCAGGCCCGCGCACGAGCCACGCAGGAGGTCCCTCGCGCAGGGTCCCGCCCTGCGCCCGCCCGAAGCTCGCCCGCGACCCGTCGGACGGCTCCTCCTCCTCCTCCTCCGCCTCCTCCTCCTCCTCCTCCTCCTCCTCCTCCTCCTCCTCCCTGGCACCTCTCACCCTCCTCCTTCCTTCCCCCGTGCCGACGCCATGCGGCACTGGGCAAGGGGGAAAGCTCAAGGGCCGCGCGGGGCGCAACTGAGACTTACCTGAACTCGAAGAGCACCCCTGGGTGGCCCCTGATCCAGTGGATGGCCGGGCGGCAATGGCCTACGATCTCATGCCCTCAGATTCAGGGCAAGCGCGGGTCTCTCCAAGGAGTGGCCTGGACAGGTATGGACACCCCATCTTCACAGTGAGGATTTCGCTCGGCACATTTAAACCTGGTCCGCATTAGTAGCGCCTCGACGGTCACACTGCCGCTGCGGACGCGGCACTTTCGCCACCGACGTCGTTCAGTTGGCACGATGTTGGCCTGGGTGCCCAGATCTATCGATGGACAGGCATGGGGATCCGCTCCTCGTGCCTGCAGCTCGGATGCCCATCCCTATTGGTGGTCAAGTTACCGTTGCGGGCGCGGCAGCCTTCGACAGTTACTTCGTGCCACGCGCGAAGACGAATCTGGCGGAATCTCGGGCCGCCAGCCTCCACCAATGGCGGCGCTCAGCAGAGGCCGCATTAGCCAGGATGGCCATCTCTGTTGAGGGACAGGCCCTGGGATCCGTCCCTTGCGCCTGCAGCTGGGACGCCCATCCCTGCCGATGGACACACACGGGCATCCCACCCCCAAATGCGGGTTTAGCCTGGCATAAGGGATCTGGGAAAGCACCAATGGCCGTGAGATGGCCACATTGCCACTGTGGGCGCGTCACCTGCGCCGCTGAAGGCATGCAGGAAACACCGCATTGGCCTGGATGCCCATACCTATCGATGGACAGAAATGGGAACCACTCCTCGGGCCTGCAGCTAGGATGCCCATCCGTGATGATGAACAAACATGCGCATCCAGCCCTGGGGCACCGAGAGAGCCGCTCCGCCTGAACGGCCGTCAGTCAGCCAAACAGTCAAGCCATGCGCTGGAACGCGTGGGCGGAAAGCGAAGATGCCAACCTTGCGGAAGCAGCGGCACGCCAACCGATTATGTAGTTACATCGTGGGCGACTGGAAGAAAGGAAAATCACGCGTGCTCATTAGAGTACGTCACCAGCACCACACTGAACACGCACGCGCAATTTCAATGGAAAGGCCGACGATAGCCCCAGACGGCCCGAACGGCCACCAGGTATCAGGCTGGAACCCAAAGCAATCTGCTCAGTGCAAACGGCGCTGGCGTAAACTAGGATGCCCATCCCTGTCCGTGAACAGGCATGGGTTATCCTGCCCTCGAATTGAATTTTTGGATAGGCGTCCGAACAGGTTGGCCCTCTCCGGCGACCACGAGATGGCCATTGCCGTCACGGGCGCGGCGGCTTCGCGATTGGTCTGAGAGGGAGCCGACCGTCCCGGCATCCCCATAGGGCTATACCACGAAAGGTTCGTAGAACCCCAAAATGTTCTCAAAACAAAAACAAGATTCTCATAAGATCAGCCCGGTCTCAACCAGAAATGTTCCAAGAACATGTCGCACAGACCACTAAAAGTTCTTAGAACATCGTATGGTGGGCCTAAAGGCGAGCCTGGACGCTTCGCCACTGCTCAAGTGATGGCGTTCAGTAGGCACCGTGTAGGCCTGGATGCTAATATCTTCAAATGGACAGGCATGTGCATCCGCTCCCCGTGCCTGAAGCTAGGATGCCCGCCCCTGTTAGAGGACAGTAATGGGCAGGGCTGAACATAAACGTTGTTTTTCGTTTTGTTGCCGCTCTGTGTCTCGTGTTGCTCTGCCTGTTTTCCTGCACCCCCTGCCAGCACGAAAGCAAAACACAGCCGAAGTCCAGCAGAACAGCGCTCAGGCCCAGCCCCGGTGAGGGGCCCCCCGCCCTCGCAGAAGGGGGGTTCGCTGGGCGTCGGAGACGTGGGCCGGCTACGGCGGTGAGACGGCCACTGCTGCGGATGGCGGAGCAGCCCCCGAGAACGACGATGCCGAGAGGGCACCGCGTCGGCCCAGAGGCCGCACGGTGCCCACCCCTCGTCGACGGACAGCCATTGGCACTCACTCCCCGTTCCCAAAGCTAGGATGCCAAACCTCGTCGATGGATGGGAACGGGCATCCCGCCCTCGCTATGCGGACATTGTTACCTCTCCGCTTAAGGATGAGGCTGTAGAGCGTGGTGAAGCGGGCACCATGGAGGGCGAGGTGGTCATCCGCACGATGCGCGAGGCGGTAAGGCACGTAAGCGCTGCACCACTGGACGCACCAGCGCACACGGTACAATTCATCGCGCCCAGCGATTACAGTGGAGGCCAGTCCACAAGAAACCTTCCACAAGAAACCCAACCCTTAGACCCCAGGACATCCATCGATTTTTGGTGTGGGAACGTCGCGTTTTCCACGGCAAAGCCACCGAAACCCAAGAAACCCAGGGCACCCTGAAGGCAAGCAAGGTGTTTCTTGGCACGGGCCCCCATTGTACGTCAGAGCAGGGGGGACCAAGGTCGAGCCAAATTCGCGGCTAGTCTCGTGATGCGTCCCCAAGCGAACCGCAGAGGCCTCTGACCACGACCCGAGGCCACTGGAAAATCGGAGTGGGCTCCAAACGGGGCCCAGCTGCAGCGGCGACATGACAGCCGAGGGCAATCCTTTCAGACTTTCCCGCGGTCAGACTTGAAACTACATGGGTTTTCGGGAGATATTCCCCTTGGCTGCATTGCCCCATCGCGCACGGGGTTCAAGCTGAACCGTCGCATTCGAGGGAGGACAGGGTGCTTGGACAAAGCCAGTGGGATCCTGGTGAGCTGTCCAGCAATTCTACTAAGTTGCTCTTTTGTTGCCCTGGCCTCGAATGGCACACCATGATGGTGCACCAGGCCTCTGGCCCCACCAACCGGATTAAGCCGCCCTTGAGCCATATCACTTCAAGATCCTCCTCCTCCTCCTCCTCCTCCTCTTCCTCCGTCCTCCTACTCGGCCCCCTTGTACTCCCTCGTCCATCCTTCCCAGGCTTCCGCCCCGTTCTCGGCCCCGGCTCCAGCTTCGGCTCCGACGGTTTCGGCGTCGGCTGTTCCTCCTCTTCCTCCTCCTCCTCCTCCTCCTCCTCCTCCTCATCCTCTCCCCTCCCCTCCTCCTCCTCCTCCTCTCCTCCTCCTCCCCCTCCTCCTACTACTCGTTATTCTCCTCTTCCCCCTCTCCCCCTCCTCCTCCTCCTCCTCCTCCTCCTCCTCCTCATCATCATCATCATCACCATCAGCATCACCAGCATAATCACCAGCATAATCATCGCCACCACCATCATCAGATTCATCAGCAGCAGCATCCTCATCGCCAGCAGTAGCAGAAACAGTAGCAGCGGCAACAAACATTACCACCATCACATATCATCTATCATCAGAATGAACCGTCATCAGCAGCATCATCAGCATCATCAGCATCATCAGCACCAACACCATCACCATCACCAGCACCATCACCCTCACCCTCACCCTCACCCTCACCCTCACCACCACCACCATCATCATCATCGTTGTCCTCCTCGACCTCCTCCTCCTCCTCCTCCTCCTCCTCCTCCTCCTCTTCCTCCACATCATCATCATCATCAGCATCATCATCATCATCATCATCACCATCATCAGCATCGCTATCATCATCACCATCATCAGCATCATCATCACCATCATCATTATCATCACCAGCAACATCATCACCACCATCATCAGTATCATCATCATCACCATCATCATCATCATCAATATCATCAGCATCACCATCATCATCATCATCAGTATCATCATCAGCACTGCCGAATACATCATCATCATCATCATCATTCTCATCATCTGCATCATCACCATCAGCATAATCATCAGCCGCATCCTCATCCTCATCCTGATCCTCATACTCGTCGGCATCATAATCCTCATCATCAGCGTAATCAGCATCATCAGCATTATCAGCATCATCAGCATCATCAGCATCAACATCACCATCATCATCACCAGCACCATCACCATCAGCATCATCAGCATCGGCATCATCATCATCGCCAGCATCAGCATCATCAGCATACGCAACATCATCAACATAATCAACATCAGCGCCATCATGAACACCATCAAAAGCACCGCAGTCATCAGCATCAACACTATCACCAGCATTAGCATCATCATCAGAATAAACACCATCGTCATCATCGTCATCGACATCGTCATCGTCATCATTCTCCGCATCATCGTCACCATCATCATCAGCATCATCAGCATCGTCATCAGCACCAGCATAATCATAATCATCATTATCATCATCAGCATCATCATCAGCAGCATTACCAAAGTAAGCATCATCATCACCACCACAATCAGCAGCATTATCATTATCAACAGCATCACCACCATCATCAGCATCACCGTCATCATCGGCATCAGCAGCAACAATTTCATCATCAACATCGCCAACAGCATCATCATCACCATCAATATCGCCTTATTCTTCATCAACAACATCATCATCATCATTATCATCATCATCATCATCAATATGGTCATCATCATCATCATCACAACCGTCATTTCCAACATCACCATTGTCATAAGCATCATATTCCGCATCGTCGTCATCATCACCACCATCAGCAGCCTCATCACCGCCACCACCACCACCATCATCATCGACATCAACATCGTCATCAGCATCACCACCACCATCATCAGCATCATCATCCTGACCACCACCAGCACCAGCATGCACAGCATCATTATCGTTGGCATCCTCCTCCTGCTCCTGCTCCTGCTCCTCCTCCTCCTCCACATCAGCATCAGCATCAGCATCAGCATCAGCATCAGCATCAGCATCATCATCATCATCATCATCATCATCATCATCATAATCCCCATCATCAGCATCGCCGTCATCATCACCAGCATCATCAGCATCAGCATCATCATCACCATCACCATCATCACCATTATCATCATCAGCATCATCATCACCATTGTCATCATCAGCATCATCAACATCATCACCACCACCACCACCCCCATCCACCACCACTTCCATATCTTGATCCCTGCACCTCGTCCTCCTCCTCCTCCTCCCATCCTCCTCGCGCTCCTCCTCCTCCTCATCCTCCGAATTCTCCTCCTCCTCATCATCCTCCGCCTCCTCCTGCTCCCCCTCCTAATCGTCATCGTCCATCTCCTGTTCCGTCTCCCCTCCTCCGATGTAATTCATGTTCTGCCCAACGAGGACCAAATAGATGGCGACCTTCGACGCCATGATGGCGTTGACGATATACCGCGACACCTGCCGATGCGACGGAGGGGCGCCAGAGGCATCGAGATCCCAGAGGCGCGTCTTTGTTTGATACCCTCCTCCTCCTTCTCCGCCTCCCCCTCCTCCGACCCATCTTCCCTGGGCCAGGGAGGGCCCCCTCCTGCCCTCATAACATATTATCCCACTCCTCCTCCTCCTCCTCCTCCTCCTCCTCCTCCTCCTCCTCCTCCTCCTCCTCCTCCTCCTATCTCCTCCTCCTCCTCTTCCTGTTGTTCCTCAAGCCGTTCCTCCTTCCATCCTCCTCCTCCTCCTCCTCATTCGATCCCTCATTTCTTGGGCAACGCATGGGGGCTGCGCGCGACTGGCCGTAAGCTCACCGTGTTCCTCCGCGGGCGACTGCGTCCCTGCGGTCCTGATCCCTACGCGCCTAGGCAACCATCGGGGAAACAACACCTTGCGAGCCCCCTCTGGGCCACTCTCCCAAGTCAGCAAATCTCGCGCAGCGAGTCCCGCGATGCGCGGTTGTCCTTGCGCCCTCGCGCCCTCGCGCCGCCCCCGTTTGGGGAAGGACAGCTGCTGTGGCCCGCACCGCGACGCGCGAAGTGTGGTCATCTTCGCGCCCCTGCGGTGGACCTGACCTGGACGCTGTGAGCCCTGGCTGGTGCCTCTCGTCACTGAGCTTCTGAGTTGCCTTGGTCATCATACAGCCGACACACGGCCGCACACACGTGGGTACGGACCACGAGCCCCCTCGCCGAAGGCCCCATAGATATGCACAGCAAGAGACATCCCAAGGCAGAGGGCCCACACACGGAGAGCATAAGGGCACACTCCCCTCCAAAAGCTGGATATGGCCTTACCCCTCGTGCGAGTTGTATTCCTCCTCCTACTCCTCCTCCTTCTCCTCCTCCTCCCACCTCATCCACACCATCCATCCTCATCATCCATCCTGCTCCTCCATCCTCATCGCTCTTTTCCTGAGCCCCTCTCCCTCCCCCATTCCCTCCCCCCGCAGACGGCAGCCGCTGCCCCGGGGCGGAGATTTCCCGCACCCCTGGCTGTGCCCTTCGTTCCGAGGGCATGCCACGACGCCCCTCGGAGGCTGCGATGAGGGTCGCTGCCTGCTTCAGGCGGCCGCGGCTGCCCAGGTCACCCAAGTTCGCGCCATCGCGCCGACGCGCTGCGCGGTCGTCTTCGCGCCCTTGCGCCGCCGCCCTGGAGGAGGGCACCCCTCCAATCCAAGCCGCGGTGCGCGAGGCGCGACTGCCTTCGCGCCCTTGGGGGTGACCCGGTCTCCTCCCTGATCCGTCCTCCCTCCTCTCTCCTCCCTCCTCCCTCCTCCCTTCCTCCCTTCTCCCTCATCCTTCTCCCTCCTTCCACCTTCTTCCTCTCTCCTCCCTCCGTCCTCCTGCCTCCTTCCTCCTCCCTCCGTCCTCCTTCCTCCTTCCTCCTTCCTCGTTCCTCCTCCTCCTCCTGCTCCTCCTCCTCCTCCTCCTCGGCCTCCTGTTCCTCCTTCCTCCCTCCTCCTCCTCCTCCTCCTCGTCCTCCTCCTCCTCCTCCTCCTCGCGGACACTTCCGTTAGCACATCTGGCGCGGATCTGCTGAAGAGGTTACGCAGAAAAAAAATCTACGAGCGCTCGACGTCCAACAATCGGAACATCGGCACGTGCCCGCGCAGTGCTGCAGTGAGGGTGGCTTC